GCGTTGGCCTGGAGACTTCAAACGCATTCTCCTGTACTCTCGGGGACCCGGGCCTGACGTGGGCCTCTAGGGCTCTGTCCCTGCTCTTACCCCCTGTCAGATCTGTGAGAAGCTCTCACCGCCAATTAACTTCTTGGTTTCATTCTCTCACCCCTGCTGTGAGGAGGTCTGGGGGTCTTGGATGGGACCAACAACAGCTTCCTTTCTACCCACCCTCCTCTGATCTCCACTGGGACCACTTACTCTCACTGAGGGTGAAGTCAGAGCCTTGGGCAGTGGCTTAGTACTAACCCTAATGATGATGCCAAAAGCGATTGATTGCTTATTGGTTATTGCATAGCATATGTCAGGAATTGTGCTGAGCACTTTCCATGCTGCACTCTCTTTTATTCTAACGAGAACCCTCCATGGTGAGTTTTAATATTATGATTCCCATTGTACAGGTAAGTACATTGAGACAAGGCTACACAAAACCAATGTACGAGAAGCCAGAATTTAACAACAAATTGTCTGATTCCAAAGCCATGCCTTTAGCCCTCTTGTTATTCCATTCATTTTAGTAACCCTTCAATCTAGTCATCTTCTGTTCATTTTACAGATGGAAAGACTGATTTCCAGGAAAGGGAAATGAGCCTCATATTCATTCTGACCTGTGTGTGCTGAGCATTGGCGCACCAGGTGTAGGTGTTTAGAGATGAGCAGAACCATATTCTGATCCTGAAGACAGTCATATACTCATAGGGGCAAGAGAGAAGTGAAGGGGTGCTGACCTAGCTGTGTGACATGTGCACCATGTGGCATGGGCACCATGCAGGGAAAAAGGAGGGCTAAGCAGCTTTTCAGATGGGTCAAAGCAGGCTTTCCAGAGGAGGTAAGGTTTGAGTGATGCTTCAAGGACAAGGTGGAAAGGGGTCAAGTGAAGAAGGGGATGAGCGACTCAGCCAGAGGGTGCCGCTGGTGGAAAGGTTCAGAGATGGGATCTGTGTTCTGGAACCATTAGCAGCTGGAGATGTCTCTGCTGTGAAACAGAGTAGGGAGGAAGGTCAGCAAGCACACCTAGACCTCTGACCAGAGCTCAAATGAGGGGGTTCCAAGTTGAGGAGTTTGTCCTGAGAGTGATGGCCTTTGTCCTAAGGATGATGAAGATGATGCCCTGAGGATGACAATGAAACACTGAAAAATACTTTGGAGCAGTCATCCCAAGGCATTTCCCCACACAGTGTGTTTGTTTGGATTTCAACCTCCCAATACACTGAGGCTGTATTACTTTAGGTATGCAAGATCTCATACCATGCATTCTGTGGACAAGCTGGTACTCAAATTCAGGTTTCAGCCACCTTGGCCAGTGTTCCTTCCCCTGCAATAAGGCCAAGCAAAGGAATAGCAATGGTTTGGGCCTGGAGCTCCAGGTTCCTAAATAGACCATCCAATGTTATCCATGAGCCACCTCTTTCATAATGAAAGCATCCCGTAAGTAGACTTGGACCTCAATCAGCCAGGGCATGGAAATGTAGGAGAGAGCACTGGAGGAGGAGTCAGGAATGCCAGAGTCTTTAGTATGTACTTATTGGCAAGTGGGTTTTGCACAAGTTGTTTTTCCTTCTGGGCTTTGGTTTCTTCACTTATAAAATCATGATTGGGAGTTGATGGTACAGGAGTTTTAGTTCAAATTATCAGTGAACCTCAGCTTGCTTCAGAGAGACGATGACAGAACTGAGCAGGGAGAAGCTAACACTCTTTCTGATCCTGAGAAACTCAGAGGTCTGATTACTCTCTCTCTCCCTCTCCCTCTCCCTCTCCCTCTCCCTCTCCCTCTCCCTCTCACTCTCACTCTCCTCACTCTCTGTCTCTGTCTCTCTCTGTCCCTGGCTCTCCCTCTTTCACTCTCCTGCTGTATGGATTTGCTTGCGGTATATATTTGTATCTGTTTCTTGGTCTCTGTCCCCCTACTTCCCACTTTCTCTGTCTCTTTCTCCCTCTCTCCTTCATTATCAGGGACTGCCACTTTCTCCCCTTCACAAATAACCCCTCCAGGCCCTGCCTGGTCCCCTAACAGCTTTCAGATGTGCCTCTGGAACAGTTCTACAATTACATCTGAGACAGGCAGAAAGCGCATGGCCTTGTGACTTTTGACCCAGGATTGTAAGGTTGACATCTTCCTCCTTCTCCACCCCCCAGCAGGGTTGCGTGAGGCCTCCTCCATCCCGAGGTCCCCACTGGCATGTTTGGTTACTATAATAACAAAAATAGAAGCTACCTTTTAGGGAGCAAAGATTGAACTGGGTCTATTATTGTCATTGTATCACTGAGTCTTGACCCCCAACTTGTGAGATATGGATAATTTCAACCTATTTTACAGGTGAGGAGACTGAGACTCAAAGAAGGTGAAGTGACTTCCCAAGGAATGTTCAGCCAGCAATTGGAGAAAGCAAGGATTCTACCCAGTTTTTATGGCATGAAAACCTAAGACCACTTCTTCCCCAGCATGGTGGGGGCTCTCTTATTCATGCTCCTTGGCTAAGCAGCAAGATGACCCTGGGCCCTCTTGGGTGGAGGAAGTGGATTGCAGAAGCACCACAGGAGCATAAGTGGCCTATGAGAAAGCAGTGTTAAAACATATTCCTACTTTTCATATTTTGAACTTTCATTCATATATTCTATTCACTACAAGCCTTCCATGTTTCCCTTGGTTGAAATACATCTTCTCTTCTAACTCCAAGAAAGCATTTTTAAAAATGTATTGTCTTGCACAAATAAGTGCTCTATATATGGTCTTTATAAAAATCCTCGTCTTACGAGCCACTTTCTCATGCATCACTCCATGTCATCCTTGAGACAACCATGTACTGTCTGTGAAACTAACCTCATTTTATTGATGGAGAAACTAAAATTGAGAAATGAGAGATGGTATGCTTTGATTCATTAATTCATACCGGTATTTATCAAGTGCCTACTATGTGCCTAGCACTGTGTTAAATGACAACAATATGCTGTACCCAAGCTGAAGTGTATGCACTCTGGGACATGCATGCACTCTGGGACATGCATGCTAGCGTTTACATCTTGCCTCTGCCACTTTCTAGATGGGTCCATATGTGGATGATAAGTGCTTACATAATGTTGCCCAATGCTGTTCTCACTTCCCACCTTGCCACTTGCTTACTCTCACCTCCTCGAATTTATTTATGATCTTGTTCTCAACCCTTCTGCATGGCTTTCCAATGATAACTTACCTCACAGTGCACTTAAATTTCACATCTATCCATACTGCACTTGTGAGGTGGGTGGCAGTCTCTCTATCACAGTTGCCGGGTGCAGAGAGGTGCATGAGCTCAGAGAGGTGAAGCAACTTGCCCAAGTTCAAAACACTAGGCAGTAAAACTGGAATATGAACCCACATATGGCCATCTCCAAGACCAGATACCTTCCTCTGTCACCCCCTGCTTCCTTTGTACCAAGAAGTTTTGACTCATGGTACCCTTTATTAAAACAACCTTTGAGGCCTCAGGTCATGGGAAGTCAAAGCTGGCAGGGCCCATGTAGGTAACCCAGATCTGATCCTCTGAGCTTGCAAGTGGGAGCAATAAAATGGCAGCTGAGAGCAAAGAGCGTGGGTTTTAGAGTAAGACAGATGATTGTCTTGGCTCCTTAATTTTCTGAACCTGTGACTTTGGACACATTGCTTAATTTTTTTAATCTTCAGTTTTATCTTTTGAAAGGTATAGATAATGAGGGTGATTATTTTAGCATGTTTTCATAAGATCAGAAAACGTATGAGATGGCACTGCTTCAACATAGTTGGGGTTCAGCAAATGTAGCTAATGGAATCACATTTTTACAGAGTTGGTTTCTACAGAACTGTGATCAGAAGACAACAGCTTATGGTGGTTGCATGTATGAACTTTAGAGTCAGAGAAACCAAGGTTTAAATTGCCAATCCTAGTAATTACCATGTGGTTCTGGGCAAGCTGTTTCCCCTCTCTGAGCCTCACATATAAAATAAAGAGAGTAATAGTACCTGTCATTTAGGATTGTGTCGGGGAACTAATTGTGTTAATGTAGGTAACTCTTAGCTCAGTGCTTGACACATATTAGGGTCTTAGCACTTAATAATTAATTTGTATAACCAACTTATAATTATTAAGTGCAAGTAAGTATGGCCAATCAGGGCTCACCATTCTAAAACTTGGTAATCATAGTGTTTTGCCTATTTTATAACATGGGATACTTTGAGATGCAGGGGAGGAGGTAAGAAAATAGGGCCATTAGGACCCCAGTCTCTTCTACTTAATGTAGGGAACCCTCTACCCACTTCACACTACTGCCTCTACCCTTAAAAGCTAGTGAAAAAGAATGGCATGATGCAGACAGAGCACTCAGATGCTCAACCCTTCTATTCAGACTGTTCTTGGCCTCTAAGGCTCACATCACCTAGAAAGTCGTTTCTGCTCCCTTCTTAGACTTTGCTTAACTGTAGAACTTAGAGATCTGGGAATATAAGGGTCACAGAGCTTCCCCAAGATAGGACAGAGGACAGAGGCTGCTGTAGAAAGAATTAAGTGCTCTGGATTAGACTTGAATCTACCAGGTCTATGTTTTACCAGTTCTTCCCTTCTAAGGCCACACAGGCTGTGTCTGCTCCCACCAATATAGCATGGAGCTTCGGATGACATCACAGAAAGGTGGGGATATGCCTTATAGCCAGATTAACCCCCGTTCTGTTCCTCAGTAACTGAGACAGTGGAAAGATACACAATCTAAGTCTCAGTGTCCTCATTGACAAGATGTGGATGACAAAAAAATCCCTCCCTTTTAGGCTGAGATGAAGTGCAAAGTGCCGAGTAGGCAGTTAGTGCTCAACAAATGCTTTATAATTATCATTCTTTTCTAAAAATCATTTTTCCTATAGCCTAATGTGCCATGACTGTGTTCTTCCCTGCAACTCCCAGGGCCTTCTGTGAAGTCACAGCCTGGTACTCTGTTTTCTTGCTGTGCTGCAGGTTCACTCTGTATGCTGTGGATACACGAGGGAGGCACTCAGAGCTAAGCACGGTAACCCTGAGGACGGCCTGTCCACTGGTAGATGACAACAAGGCAGAAGGTAGGTGACCTAGTTTTTCAACTCCAAGGTAACTCCCATATTTCCCCTAAGTTCTGTACCCAACAGTCACTAATCATTAAACATACACACACACATACACCAACACACTGGCACAGGGAGAAGAAAGTGAAGGCACTAAGGGAATAGGAGAAACATGGAGCTAAATTAATCAAAGTCATGAAGGGAAAAATTAAGATTGACTAGCAATATCTTTGGCAGTGGAAAGACTTCCCCTTCTTTTAGAGAGTTGATCTGTGTTCTGACTTACAGGCCAGGAATGGTAGGGAGTCAGAGCCCCATGACTGTATCTTGTCCCTTGGCCTAGATTTCTCAGGGACCATTTTCTCCCACTTGTCTTTGCTAGAGTAGTAAAGAGATGGTACCTAGAAGACCATTTCACCTTGTGGTGCCCATAGCAGATATCATTAGCAGATCACAGCATGCTGTTCCATCCAGTCCCATGGTGGCCTCCGAATCCTCAGCAGAGAGCTACCATCAGTGATTATCAGTCAGTTAGCATGCAAGATTAAATGTTTTTGCTACTTCCGGTTCATGACGTAAACAGCAGGCAAAAAAACACCTGAAAAAAGTACAAGTAGTCAATCAGATACACCATATACTTAGTTCTTGAGCATTGTGTAGATGTAGTTTCTATATCAAGTCTAGCAAAATGTGACAGTGGCTCATAAGTCCTGGTGGTCTACTTAAAGTTGAACAATTATTTCTCAAAAGTTCAAGCAATGCAGTAGAGACATGGTCTCCACCTTTTAGGAATTCACATTGTGGGTGGTGAGACAGACATTTCTGCAGATGGCTCAATAATAAACTCAATTATAAATGTTTTATATGCTACCAAAGGAGAGGGGATTTAAAGTATTTTCCTGATAAATTTAAAAATTTTTTATTTTAAAATAACACATGTCCATTGTTTTTTTTTTTTTTTTTAAAAAAAGTACAAATAAAAATCGAGTAGAAAATAGGGTAACATAAATGTTCCTCCCATTTTTACTCTAAGTTTCCAGATTCTCCTAGCAGCAACTGTTGTCAGTAATGATTTTGGGCCACATAGAGATTTCGATCGGGGTTTTTGAAGCTGAAAGAATATACCTTCTAGTCATGTTGAATTGAAGTTACTTTCATTAGCAGGAGTAACTGAAGCAGTAGAAATAGCCATGAACAGCAAGCAGAAGCCTTTGGATTTTCTTTGAAAGGTGTTTCAAACGGGGACCTGTCAGACCTGATCACAGAAATGTGTTGGAAATACAACAAAGGGGAAATAGAAGGAGGGTGTTGAGATTATCCAAGACAGTTTATTTAAGCCAATTGTATGTAAAATCACAGTTACAATAATTATATTGATAATTAAGCTTGCAATTATGAGCACTAACTTTGTGCCAGGCCCTGTGTTGAGTGCTTTGTATCCACTCTTTAATTTAGTTCTCCCAATGCACCTCCAGAATAGACATCATTACCTCCAGATGACAGGAAACCAAACACAACCAGTCAATAACGTATTCCTGATGAAATTAAGGTTTGTCTGCTCCCAGAGCTTATGCAAGCAAACTCTCTCACCACTGTGCCTTTCTTATTGAAGCCCATGCTTATATCCTTACTTGTTTTCACCACTCAGTGATCAATTTCTGCCCTTCTGACCTCTCAGAAATAGCTGACAAGATCTACAATCTGTACAATGGGTACACAAGTGGAAAGGAGCAGCAGATGGCCTACAACACCCTGATGGAGGTCTCAGCCTCGATGCTGTTCCGAGTGCAGCACCACTACAACTCTCACTATGAAAAATTTGGCGACTTCGTCTGGAGAAGTGAGGATGAGCTGGGGCCCAGGTATGAGCGTATTTGTGTGATTGAAAGGGCATATTCTTTTTGCTTCCAGTTGACTTTTCTAGACCCTTTCCCCATAGGCTGAGAATAGGCTTTATCAAGTAAATAAGGGTGATTATCACCTTAGTCGTGTCAAGGCTAAAAATAGAAAATGAGCAGGGAGAATGAAAGACTCTTGGAACTTTAGATTCCTGCACTCCTGGAATGTTTAATAGGGAAAGGGCATTGATGCTGTTTGCATTAATCATTCTCCTTGCTCATCTCCCACTTTGTTTTACAGATAGGAAACTTAGGCTCTTTGAAGGCCTGTGTCCTAACCAAGATCACGGAGGAGAACAGCAGCGGCGCCATGGTGCATAATCCAGGGCCTTTCTCAGTCTTCCATAAGAAGTCTGAGTTTTTCTACAGTAAATAGCTATGATTTTGACTAAAGTCCATTAGTGAACACGACTACATAAATTGATGAATTCAACATGTATGAAGGCTTTATTTTTGTCTTGCATGCCAGTCACTATGCCAGGAACCAGCAATGATTCAAACAGAACTAAGGCACAGTCACTATCATCTAAAGCTTCATAAAGCAGTATATGCAATGGTGGCTGCATTGTATGTCTTGCATCTAGCAGCATTCATCCATTCAGCATATATTTAACAGCACCTGTTATGTGGTGGCTGCTGACAATGCAATGGTAAAAAGGTAGAAATGGTTGCTACCTATATATAACTTCCTGTTGCAGGTAGTTAAACAGGCAGTTATGTAGAGCAGGAATAATAAGTGTCATGATAGCAGAAGAACAGAACTCTTTGGGAACATACATGAGACATAGGCATCTGGTCTAGGTCACCCAATGAAGCTGCACTGGGGCTGAGAGCCTGAGGCCTAAAGTTTGAGTTGGGGTAAGGTGAGTGAGGGTTGCTGGGGAGAAGGATAGGTGTTTGGAGTAGAGAGACTACCTGACGGAATGCTCAGAAGAGAAAATATTACATGACAGTGGAAGTTTTCTTCTCAACTTTGGATCATTTGCCTACCACTTTTATGACTTTTGCCATCTCACCACCATATATATTTTATTTTGTATTTCTTTCTTAGATTCACTTCTTATTAAAAATGTATTTGAACAGAAAACACATTATCTTGTAAAGGAAAAACCAACACCATCTTCCCTTAATAGAAAATTAAACTTAGCCCTTCAATACAATGGACAAAATCAACAAAAGTGGAACAAGACAAAAAACGGAAAACAATGTTGTTCAATTCTAGCAGAGCCTGAGGCTGTCCCTTCAAAAGGGAGATTAGTTAGAGAAGTGTTAAAGACACAGCCCCAAACCAAGATTGTCTTTTCTTTTTTTGAGATGGAGTTTCGCTCTTGTTGCCCAGGCTGGAGAGCAATGGTGCTATCTTGGCTCACTACAACCTCCGCCTCTTGAGTTCAAGCGATTCTCCTGCCTTAGCCTTCCAAGTGGCTGGGATTATAGACACCCACCACCATGCCAGGCTAGTTTTAAAAATTTTTTTTTAGTGGAGAGAGGGTTTCACCAAGTTGGCCAGGCTGGTTTCGAACTCTTGACCTCAAGTGATCCGCCCATCTCAGCCTCCCAAAGTGCTTGGATTATAAGCATGAGCCACTGGCCGGCCCAATATTTTCTTTTTGAAGTAACCTGAAAGAGGGGAAGAGAATGCAAGAGCTAATCTAACCACTTTTGCAAACGTGATTCATTTTTGTTTAATATTGGGTCTGTGATCATCTTGAGTACCACCTAAAATCCTTTCCCTACCCTAGAAGAACTCAGCCTGCACTTTGGTAAACACTGTGTTTGGAGCAACTAAAGAATTTCCGTGTAGTTGCAACAAAGTGTGTGACAGCAGGAGTGGTAAGAGATAATAAGGGGGAGGTCAGTGGGAGCCAGATCCTGAATACTCTTTAAATTAGGTTAAGAAGTTGGTATTATCTCCTTAGGGTAATGGTAAGCTTTTCAAGTATTTTTCACAAAAAGGAATAATATTATCACACCATCAAAGGAGAAAGATCCCTCTGGCTTGATTATAGGGGTCAAGGTAAGAAAGCGGCAGTGAGGCTCTAGAGGCTGTTGTGATAGTAGTCCCAGGAACACAGCATAGCATTCTAGGCCAGGGTGGCATTGGTGCACTGGAGAGAATCGCATGACTTCCTGAAATACTTAGTGGGCAGCACTTCATGCTTTAAAAACTTCGAAATGACCATATAGGGTATTAATGCCATTTTTTGGATGATAAGGAAATTGAGGTCCCATGGGGCAAAATGAGCTGCCCAGAGTTGTGCAGAGTTTGACATGGAGGCCAGTTCTGCCTTGAGCTCTCACCTTGAGCCCTTAGAACATTTGCAATGGCCCTCCAAGAATTTTAGGCTCTCAGGGACAGAGATGAGAGCTTGGTCCAGGGATAAAAGGGATCTCACCCCAGGGCAAGGCCTTATCAGTTCTGTTGGGTCCTGGACTTTAACTTTCTCCCTTGCACATGAAAGGAAGGTTCTTTAGATAAAACCTAAAAGAGGGCGGGACTGGCAGGCTGAAGTGAAGAGCCCCAGATGAAAGCTGCTGTGTGAGTCTTCTCAGCTGCCATCTTGCCTATGGACAGAGGAAGGCATTCCTCTCTTTTGGGCTTTCCCAGAGGGCTCAGGGAGTTTGTGTGGAAGCTAAACCAGAGCTCCACTTCTGACTTTGTCTTTACAGCCTCCTGGAATCCTTTATGGGCCTCCAGGACATAAATCTTCTGGAAAGGCCGCCAGGCCGCCCACAAAAGATGGGCAATCCACTCAGTAATGGACTGTGATAACCTGCTAACCCCTAGTCAGGCAGTCACCAGCCACTGTCTGTGAACGTCCCCACCCTGTCACCCAGCTTCCTCCTCCTCTGGTCTTTCTAGTCTCCAGGAGGATATCTGAGATTGCTCCAACATCCCACACTGATTATGTCAGCAGGAATCAAGGAAGCTGCCTCCTAATCTATCCTGGTGCTGCTAATAAACTCACTGTGCAACCCTGGGCTCTGCCGCTTTCTGGCCTTCAGTCTCCTCACCTATAACATGATCAGGATGAACTAGAACAGTGTTATTTTTTTTTAACCAGTGGCTTTTTTTTTTTTTTCCTAAATAAATCTTACATGGAATCACAGCCCACCTCCACAGAGAATTATCTAAAGTGTCTACCCATTTGCTCTGTCACACCCTCATGGTTTAACTATCGTTCCTGCACTTACTAGATTTAGAATCTTATATTGCTTGTATGTTTACTTACATATTATCTGTCTTCCCCACTACAATGTAAACTATGTGTAGTTAGTGATCCCTTATGTCGTATTCACATTTATAAGTAGGTGCTAAGTAATTAGTTGTTGAGTAATTGGGTAATGAGATGATTAAATGTGTGGACCAGATGACTAAAGATTTGTTCTGGTAGAAACTGGAGTGGGTGGCCTGGAGTCCCACCTGCTGGGTCTCCTCTTCTATGCCCCTCCACCCCACCCAATCCCAAGCATCCCTTATGTCTCTCCAAGCCCTCAAGAATCTTTAGATCACAGTTGGAAACAATTGAATTCCATGAACTCTGAGGTCTTCTAACATTCCAAGAAATGCAATGTCCTTGCAAATATTAAAAGACTTGAAGATATCTCACTTGATTGATTCATTCATTCATTTAATGTGCTAACTATGTGTCAGGCCATGTACTGGAGGCTAAAAATACAAGTGAAGATGACAGATCCTGCCTTTACAAGGTTCAGCATCTAATGAGGAAAAGATTGGTCAGCTGGCAATTGCAGTGGCATTTGGCATGTGAATGGACGAGCATTTTAGAGCAGTGCTTCTCAAACTTCAACGTGCCTGAGAATCACCTGGGGACTTGTTACAATCTAAATTGACTCAGTAGTCTGGGTTGGGCCTGAGATTCTGCATTTACTGAATTCCATGAACTCTGAGGTCTTTTAACATTCCAAAAAATGCAATGTAACAAGCTCTCATAGTGATGTTAATGTTGTTGGCCCCAAAAGCACACTTGGAGTGACCAGGTTCCAGATGCAGAAAGCTGGAGCAGCTAATCCAGACCTGGAGCTCAAGGAAGAATCCTTATGAAAGAAAGAACATTTCTAAGTTTAGAAACAGAATGAAGAAGGGTCCTCCAGGTGGAAGGGAGAGAGTCTTCTCATCAGAAGGAATTACCAATGCAAAGATGAGAGAAGGTTGGGTAAGAGAATATACTTCAGTTAAAAATATAAATCTTATTGGAGAAGAGAGTTCAAAGTGAAAGAGGAGAGTTCAAGGTGAAAAGGAAAAGCAAACAAACAAAAACAACAAGGCTGGATTGTTTAGCAAAGGACGGATCATGATGGCTCTTGTGAGTTCTGTTCACAAGTTTCTTCTTTCTCCCAGAAGCCATATAAATGTTTTAAACAGAGGAGCAATTTGGATAAATTTGCTCTGCCTTTCAAGGATTAGCAAGTGTGCAGAACATCACAGTGTAAATAAGAGATGGCAAGATGCTTCTCCAAAGCCAGGAGCCCAGGGATTCTGTCCTAGCCTTGTCACCTACTTGTTGTGTGACCTTGGACACAAGCCATCCCCATTCTGGACCTCGTTTGTAACATGAAAGGGCTGAACTCCAAAGTCTCTTCCAGCTGGGAAGCCAAGGAACCAGAAAACGCTGAAGGTCATAAAGACCAGAGAACAGACACATCGTTAGTATCATTTCACCTCCAGCCCTACACGTTTTGTTTTTCAGGGACCCATGTTGGCTAGAGTGATAAGAGGTTTTTCCAGGAGTACATTGAGGACTGATATCATAAGATGAGCTCTATTAGGATTCTCTTCGACTATGTAATCACTAAACCCCAAAATGTTTTCAAATCTTTCCTGTATCTGTAGTCATATGTGTCCCCATAAGATTTAGTGACAAAAGGACATCTCTTACCTCTGCCTAATAAATCTATCAGGCCAGTGTCCCCCAGAGCCTAGTTCTTATGATCACAGGTTA